CTCTCTCTCTCTCTGTCTTTTCTCTCTGTTGATGGCTGATTCACAATCTGTCTCTTAGCATATCTTTCTCACTGTCTGTCCCTTTTGTTTCTTTGTTTCTTGCCTTTTCTGATTTTCTTTTACTTTAGATTTTCTATTTTTGTCTATATTAAATTTTTCATATTTTTCCTTTCATTCTTGTCCTTCATGCAGACGTTTGTGTCTTTAACTACGAGTTAAAGCATTTAGCCATCACTGAATTTCATTTTAATTTTGTTTTTACTTTGTAATTTCTTTCACATTTTGTTTCTATTTAGAGGTTTTCCTGTCTTTCTTTCTTTCCCTTTATGCAGACCTTTGCATGAAAATGCACGCAAACTGCAAGGCAAAGCATTAAATAGTGGGTAGTGAATTTTGTTGTCTTTCCTCTCCTCTCTTTTTTTTCCTACAGACATTTGCAAACTGCAAGTCAAAGCTTTTAGCCATCACTCAGTTTCCCTTAAACCTTGTTTTCTTCTTTTCTCTTTTTTTTATTTGCCCCTACTGTATGCCCCACCAGTATGGCCACAGTGTATCACAAACCACATGCTGTGTCACTTAATTTTTTCTTACCTCCTTTTACTATCTCAGTTCTTTGTCACTGTAGTTTTTTTTTAGTCTTTCTAGCTCTTTTTTCCTACATGCAGACACCTGAAATTCATCACAAATCACAATCAGCCATCAAAATATCAGAAAATTCTATTCAATTTCAAAAATAGCACATCATAGCATAGCTGCTATGATGTGGAAGGGAGTCGATTGCTACTTCACTGTCAGGTGCAGGTCTTTCTTTCTGTCTTTGTTCCTCCCCCCCTCCACCATTGACTGCCCCCATCAGGCAGGTTTGGAACTAATCAATGCACCAACTAGGAGCGTGTGCATGTGTGTCTGGGACAGGTCTGGGAGACGAAAAAAAAAAGCAGAGACTGAGGATGATAAGGAAGAGAGCAAGAGGGAGAGAGTTGGGATAAAGGTGTGTGATAGAATTGGAAGATCAAAGCCTTCTGTCACAGCGTGACTGAGCCCAGGAGCGTTATGGGTAAGACAGGGCACATACACACTCGTACGGACACACACACACACTTATGCACGCACAGACACACACACGCACACACTCTCATGGCTGGTATTTGACTCTGAGTGTGATTGATACCGGGCTAGATTTGGAGAATCACTGTCATTCGTCTCTCCGCAGATCAAACAGCCACATAATCTCCCATAAAGGAAAGAGAGATGGAGGGAATAAAAAGGGGACAGAGGAGGAGAGATTGAAGGAGGAAGGAAAGGGAGAGAGAAAGCGAGATAGAGAGAGAGAGCGAGAGAGAGAGAGGTGACAAAGCCTTCTCATCTGCAAAGTATTTTCTTGTTTTTCATAAAAGAAGACTCGCCACCTTAAAAACACATCCATCATTCAGCTCCATTAAACTGCTCCTTGGGCACATCAGAGAGATATCAAGTATCTAAAAAGACAAATGTAAATGGAAGTACTGGACCCCATTTACACCTTGTATAGACATGCAATCTGTATCTCAATATCGTCTCTCTGAGTAAAAAATGCAAGCTGTACGGGCATGCAGAACATGTTGCAATCAGAATGCAACCGGATCGTCCAATCCACATCTTAAATTGGTCTGGATCGTACCGTGAGCGAATCTCAGGCAGGTGTAAGTGACATCTGTACATGGTATGGTCACATTATTAAGAAATAAATACCCCCAACAACTTGAAAGGCCACTTAAATCCGCCTGGCAAAAACCTACAGACAGCATCCTCTGCAAAGGAAAAATAAGCTTGTACAGTGTTACTTTGACCTGGGACGCATCATGCCTGTTGAAGTCCACTAGCCTCGGCTACCTAATCTGTATATTACCATCCAATCCCACTGTGAGCAGAATCTCGATAATGAGAGCACTTATTAATAGCAGGTGTAAATGCAGAGACGTGATCAGACACAGATCGCATGTTAATAACATGTAATATAGGTCCT